GCGTGACGGTGGAGCGCGAGCTGGAGAAGGTGCTGCACAAGTTCTCGGGCTACGGGCAGCTGTGCGAGCGCGGCCTGGAGGAGCTCATCGACTATACGGGCGGCCTCAAGCACGAGATCCTGCAGAGCCACGGTAGGGCGGCCCGGGTGGGCGCGCGGGGCAGGGCCCTCCTCCGAGCCTCATCTCCAACCCCGCGGTGGGACCCCCTTCCTCACCCACCCTCGCGCTTCGGGCCCGGCCGCCGCCTCCCCTGAGGCGCGGAGACCCCCCAGGCCGCTGTGACTTTTCTTTCTCATTTCGTCCGATCTGCCGCGAACCTGCCGCGACCTCGCTTTTAATTCAGAATGAGCGCGAAGCCTCCCGGAAACCCGGCCGGGACTCGCGGGCTCCGGGGGGCCGTCCTTCCCATCTGCGAACTGCCGACCTCCCAGGGTGGGCCCCGCACCGGCCCCGGGGGTCTCACGTGGTCCCCGAACGCTGTCCTGCGTCGACCCAAGACCGAGTGATGAGAGTCAATGCAGGAAGCCCCTTCCCTCTGCCCCACCCCAAATTCGCGGCAGGGGGACTTCCTACCCTCGTGTTTTTTTTTTTTAAATTAGAAAGTCTAGTGTTATTCTTAGCTGTGGGTTAACAGAACAGCCGTTCCTGCAACTTCATAATGTGACTGATGGGTGGAAGCAGCTCCTCTGGACTCCGCAGCAGCACTGACATGATTCCTAGGAAACCCGCTGAATCCAGCGGTTCAGCTCTCCTCGGGCAGCCTCTGATGAGACTGAGGAAGCAAACTGTGGCACGAGTTGTTAGTTACTTGCCTTACCTGGTCAAGTTTGTACTTGCTTTTGTTTCAGAAAACAAGTTTTCTACGGAAGGTGTTTTACCTTGGTTATTTCATTATTGCCTTAGGCCTTGGGGACAGATGGTTTGCCAAAAGTTAGCTTATGGGAAAGCTGGTTGGGAAAGGGTTTTGTTTTCAGTTTTAGAAGTAATATTAAAAGCCTGGTATCCTTACATAGTAGTCACACTGATGATTCCGTTTGTCAGGTAGTGAAGGACTTTTTATTTAATGGGTTTTATTCAGGAGCTCTTGTGGGGAAGCTGGTCAGGAAGGGGTTTTGTTTTGGATTTTTGAAATAACGTTAAAGGTCTGGTATCCTTACATAGTAGTCACGGATGATTCCGCCTGTCAAGAAGTAAAGGGCTTTTCATTTAATGGGTTTTATTCAAGAATTCAGCTTGTGGGCTAAACAGAAATTTTACGTAAAGGAAGATTTGGTAGCTGGGGAGAAATGCAGATGTTTGTGGCAGGTGAGATGAGGGCAGTGGTGTTAGCTAAACTTCTTTATTCTTCTACACCTTCCTTTCTCACACTGCCTTTCAGTTGAGGGTGGGTGCTAGTCCACAGTAAGGGACAACATCTCATTCTGGGCAGCAGTCACTTTTGAATTCTGCTGAAGAAGCAATCCTGCAACCATAGTGGTTGAAATATTGATATGGAAAAATCCCATTAACTCTGGTAAGAGTTGCAATATTAATATGGGACAATGAGCAGACTTTGGTGGCTCCCTGTGAAGGGAAATTTGATGGACTTGGTAATGATATAGTTGGTAGAAGTGGGGACGTAGAGGTGGAGTGGGGTGGGAATCCTGGGAAGGTTCTGATGACTGATTTTGGTCATGTGAGATAAAGTTAAAGGGGTTAATGAAGATAGAGTCAACAGCTTAATGTCAACTCGTGGCTGGAGATGTATAGGTCTAAGACTGTTTTCTGATGTCATTTTAAGAGAACAGTGGAGAGGATCACTTAGGATGCAAGGAGGAAAGACAGTAGGGTCCAGCCTCAGCTTTGAACTACCCTTGGAAAGTGGAGGGCCAAGGTGGATCCAACAGAAACCAAAAAGAGCTGGGGTTGGTCAGCAGTTATTTGGCTATTGTGAGTCAGTGGCCTTCTGTAATTGAAGTTTTATAGAATTGTTAAAACAAGTCAGATTACTGGAGGTTAAGAAAAATGTGATGCAAACAGGTGTAAGGAAACCCAAGGCTGCACCAGTGCAGTGGTAGAAGGTATTCCCACTCCCCTACTCCCTGGAAATCTTTGTCTTGTTAAACGCTGAAAGGAAGGAGCCAGTGGGAGAAGAGAATGAATGAAGGGCCTAAACTTGGAGAGGAGGAAGGAACATTTCCTTTTTAGGGACTAGGTTAGAAGTTGGGTTGGATAGGCAGGGTTTGAGAGGGAAAAGATGGAAAGTAAAGTGCCTTTCTTCCGTAAGAGAGGGAGGATATTAATTGAAGGGGATGTGGTTGTGAGCTTTGTTTTAGGGAATTTAGGGGCAATCCCAGATAGATAACGTTGTGAAGAATTGCTAAAGCAGGAATTTGTTTTAGATCTCTTTGCTTGGTATCAGGGAACTTTTCTGGGAATTTACGGTACTAGCCATGGGATATACCGTGTGCTGTCAGAAGAGTCTGACTTGGTGAGTTTTGTGTGTTCCCTTTTCAGCCTCCTGTTTTCTATCCTCTTGTCTACCAAATTGCCAGTCTTATGTTGGTATCCCTTTGTTTTTCTTTAGCAACAGAATTAAGTGGTTAAAGGTAGTAAAAAAGAAGAAACATGAAAGATGATAAATACCACAGGTGCCAAGTCTAGTTTCCAAAATAAAATTTCTTTCTTTGGGTGTTCCTTTGTGTGAGGACAAACATCATGCTTTGGTATCTGGGTTATGGTATTTTTCAAAGCAGATAATTTCTAAATTAAAGTTCTCTGTAGGTGATGTGGTGGATATTATACTGAATCTTGAATATACCCTTCTGAAAGATATACAAGGATACTTCAAAAAACTTCATGGAAATATAGAATTAAAAGATAATGTGAATCTTTCCATGAACTTTTTGAAGTACCTTCATAGAATTTGAACTCAGTTTTCAAGTTTAAAGGGAAATTTTCAGAGCTTCTGAAGGTTCGTATCTGGACAAATGACCTCATGGGCTGTGACCTGAGAAAGGGGCTCCAATTAGGAAGCTCTTTCAGGGCTTTGGATCTCATACTCTGAGTTTAAATGAGTTAATATTCTTTCAGGAATGTGGTATGAGTCAAATAGAATCTTGGGGACTATACAGATCCCTCAGGGTCCTATATAGGACACATCATTGCATCATATTGGTGTTTCAGAAGTGTCCTTTAGCTAGGGTCAGGGAATCAGTTCAGTTTCTGAGGATGAATTACAATTTGTTATTTTGAAATTTCTTTTCTCTCTCTTTGTAGAAGTTGTGAGCAGACAACTATACTAAATGATCAGGGCTAGGATTTGTGGTGATCATACATAAATGGATTTAGTAAGCTGGATGACAACCCCCTTCCATCCTCCATTCTTGCCACTCTTACTCTAGGTTGTAAACACTGCCCTAAGGGGGCTAGCCTGGCAGCTGGCCTGGAAATAGTCCTGCAGTGAGCCTTAAAATCTCTCAGCTGCTCTAATTTGCCTCTATATAGCCTGGAATTCTTTCAAATAAAATTTCTCTAATTAACCATTTCTTCTAAAGAGCAAATTTCTTAATGCAGATACCTTTGGGGAAATAAGGGTGGTATGGGATGGTCACTCACACCTAGTCAGTTAGTTTTTGCTCTGCCATTTAAACCAACCCTAACTAAATCCATCAGCCTGGGAAAAGGAAAAAACAATTAAAAAAAAAAATGGAGGTGTCAGCCCTACAACAGAGGAATAGTATTGGAGTATGTGGCTCTGAGATGGAGGGGCAGGCTTTGAGTGGGTGCTGTATAGCCAGTTGGGGAATTTGATGGTTGAGGGACCACTTAGGCGTATAGAAGTATGAAGAGGGAGTAAAGAACTAGGGAGAATGCTAAAGAGGAGTTCTGCTGAGGCCTGATCCGTTCCTCTTCCTGGACACTGATTAAAGACTTCTTTATGCAACGTATGTGGCTCTGAGATGGAGGGGCAGGCTTTGAGTGGGTGCTATATAGCCAGTTGGGGAATTTGATGGTTGAGGGACCACTTAGGCGTATAGAAGTATGAAGAGGGAGTAAAGAACTAGGGAGAATGCTAAAGAGAAGTTCTGCTGAGGCCTGATCCGTTCCTCTTCCTGGACACTGATTAAAGACTTCTTTATGCAATAGGAACTGCCTTAAGAACAAATCTATAGGGTGGTAGATAGGAGGATGGGGAGTGATCTAGAGCCTGCAGTGAGGTGTCCAAGGTAAGAGGAATAGGGATAACTAACTGTTCATGGGAAATGGAAGGTCTGTGCTGAGGTGTTAGTCTGAGAAAGTAAAAAACCATTTTTTTAACCTAATTTGTCAGGAGTTCAAGAATTGTGTTGAACTCTGATTCTTATCCTTAATTATTTTAATTGAACTTTAGGGTTCTCTTAATTGCCCCAAGTCTGAGGGGAGAGGAGAGTATTCCTGTCATTTAGTTGTGGCAGCCTTTCAGTGAGAGTTTCCCTGTAAGCATGAAGTTTGGTCTAATTTAAGATTCAGTGTGGCTAATATTGGTTGGTATGCTCTTGATCTAATTTGGATAATGCCCTGGTGCTTCTCAGACTTCAGTCACACACATGCACTCTTTATTTTTCAGATGGATTCATAGATTTACTTAGGTAGATTTATCCTCATTCTAGGCAGTGATATTTGTGAAATCATAGATTTGGTTGGTTAGGTATAATAAGCTACATATTAAAAATATATTCTTAAGGGGCCGGCCCGTGGCTCACTCGGAAGAGTGTGGTGCTGATAACACCAAGGCCACAGGTTCGGATCCCATATAGGGATGGCCGGTTTGCTCATTGGCTGAGCGTGGTGCTGACAACACCAAGTCAAGGGTTAAGATCCCCTTACCGGTCATCTTTAAAAAATAAATAAATAAATAAATAAATAAATTCTTAAGTATTAAAATATTCTTATACAAGCTAAAATTATCATTCACATCAGTGGTATGAGAACTACACTTTGGACAACCCTTGCTTAACAGAGAAATAGTATGAGTAATTTTTTGTAATTTGGTGATTATTTTTATATGCTTTTTAGCATTTTTTTTCCCACTGGTAAAATATTTATATTTTTGTTTTCCCATTAGTACCTATATGATGGAAGGGAGAACAGAAAATAACTATATATCATGT